AGGTCGCGGTCAATTGTGTCGTCAGATAACATTTGAGGCTAGATTCTGATTTCTCGTGCCGCTGTCTGCAGTCTGCGCTGTGTCATATAGTAGCATCGTTTAGGTGGTTCTGGCTCCGCTGATCTGGGGAACCTTGCCTGAAAGGCCCGATTATCCAAATTAACCCGGAGGTGGAAGGCGAATTCGGCAGCGCTACACAACGGCACGTGGAATCTCACAAAGTCTATTCTTCAGCCATTCTCGGCGCCCAAGCAAGGCACAACCAATATTCGGGCGAGAGGATCTATAGCATTGTCCTGTTGATATCTCGGGAACCAGATCACTGTCCGACTAAGCTGGTTGAACTTGATATACACACTATGCTAAGCGAACCCTCACTTAACAATGCTTAAAGCAAAGTGAATGAGATCATGTAAGCCATCAATTTTTACTCATGATGCATTTATTGCTAGTGTATTACTGCGATGTTCTTCATGAAGCACTGTGGACAAGATAGCCCATTGCTCTTTGATGGCAGACAGCATAGCTTGATCGAGTGATTTTTGGAGATCGAGCGTTGATCACACATGCCCATCTCTTAATTACGAATATCACTACTAACTTGGCCTTTCCTTCTTGAGTTTCTCTTATAGTGGGTAGGTGGGATACTGGTACTCCGTAGCTGATCGGCTGTTTTCTTGGGTCATGCATACGTTTGACCAGGTTTTCAGATGTCTCATGGTTGCAATTCACTGTTGATCTAAGTGCATGGTTCTCTGATGCCGATAATGAGCTGAGGCGGATTCACCATTAGCTTGAAAACCGTAAGATAAAAAAATGTCCACCTTTGATTGTAACGATAGATCTTGCTCATTAAGTCAGCTATTAAGGCTACTTTTAGTCATCTACATTGGCAATTATCAACTTAACTTATGACTCAATGCCTCTCAGCTGCTCTATATTCTTGTTCATCCCCATTGTGAGAAGTCCAATATCAAAGTGTCCTACCACGAACCGTGCACCAAGCTCTTTCACAGCTCGTCTACATATATCCGGTCGCGTGTATAAGCCTGCAATACCAAGAACCTTGCCTTGTCTCTGAGCAGCATTGGCAACGGCTCGTAACGCATCCTGAAATATCGGGCTATCCCATTCGCCCAGAATACCCAGGTTCAATGTTAGATCATTGGCCCCTAGAAGTAAAACATCGACACCTTCGATAGCGGCAATGGCATCGATATTTGTGAGACATTCCTTCGTCTCTACCTGAATAAACACTGTAGAGCCAGTAGTGTCGAGCTGCTGCATCAGTTCCTTTGCGTCTGTTCTTTGAAAAGAAAATTGCGGGAGAGCAGCTGTTAGAGATCGGTTGCCCCTGGGAGGGTATTTTGTACAAGCGACTGCTTCTCTTGCTTCATCTACATGGGCGATTAGGCTATATTGACTCTGTATTGAGGGTTTATGTTTCCGTGAGTGGATTACCTACCTACAGAGCGAATGTGTGGAAATACAATGCCCATCGCGCCACTATCAAGAATCCTCTGGATATGCCCAGGGCCGCATCTGTACGGCACGCGAACAAACGGCGTTATCCCAGCCAGGAGCGATGCAGAACACAACCGACCAATATCTTCGACCGAGAAGACCGAGTGTTCCTGATCGATAAAGACCGAGTCATACTCAGCAGCCTTAGCAAGTAGGATGACTTCATTGCTTGTCACGACTTTGACGCCAAATGCCTACTTGCACTCATCAGATGGGTTCGGCGGTTCTAGCAGTAATGGATTGGCAAACCGTGCATATACGATCCTGGCCTACGTTCCGGATGAGGTTATTCTGCGGCATTTTTGGTGCGCGCATGCACGCGTTCGGTGTAATAGGGAGCCCTTGCCACTTGGCAGCTATCAGGTTCGCGCCGAATGTTTGTTTGGCGTCACATTCCAGCAGCCCAAGCTCATGGCATAATAGCACGGTACTCCTTGGCAGTAGAGCCACGGTAAGCGGTTCCGAAAGAAACCCCACACTCGCAAGAAACCCCCACAAGCAAAGACGGCTGGACTACCCGGACGCCTGCTTCTGTTCCAAGCTTCGGACACAAAGACCTTGCATGCTATATTCCTGACCAAGTCCGTGCCTGATCTGTAGGCGTCTATGCGGCACCATAAGAGTTGCACGTCATTCGTGGATCTATAGATCCAACGGAAGAGGTCGCTACGTAATTCTGTTTTGGTCTTAGGTCATCACGCAAGGCATCGAACGTGTGCTGTGCTGTGAGAGATCTCAATCTTGAATGCTCTGGCTACTGCAGATAGACAGACACAGCGCCCATTCAAAGTTGGTGATTTTGTTTCTCATAGAGGAAGATGACGGCCATTATTAGGAATTATCTCTTGAGCCTTCTATCCTAATTTGTAGGCACAAAATACTAGATTCGAGGTGCGGATGTGCTCCATAATAGATGGCGCACAGGCAAAATGGATGGTGGCCTGCCGTTTCGCCATGAGCCAGAACACCGACCGATGCAACGATGCATTCTCATTCTTCCCTAGTGGACTATACGCTTCTCAATTAGCTCTATGAGGACTATGAGAAAGGCTCATGTTGATTATCTGTCAGATTTATTGGTGATTATCAGCTATGCAGGTGTCACTGCACCATGTTCGTGGGCAGAACCCCGCGCCGCCAGCGAGAAGTCCGATCCCCTGAAGATCTTCGAAAAGCCATAAGACACAGCGATATGTAAAAGGGATACGAGTTTCGGGAACAAGAGAGCAGTCTGAAGTATGTCAAGGACACAACATTACCAGCTATGATGTGCTCATTAAGCCGTCGCGCACCAATTGAGTCCTCTTGAGATGATGCGGACAGACTGTCGCAGCGTGGTTTGGGCTTCGGCAAAGTTCGGAGGTGGCTAACCGAGCGGGTGGCCTTTCCGCGGATCGGACGGCGTCAACTACGTTTCTCTGTCGCCCGGTGCCGGTGCTGCTCCTCAATGAAGGCAGCTTCGGTGTACGCAGCCAATACCACGAAGGTTACACGATCCTCCATCTACATCGCGGGCATAACCCTACCCTTCCTCATCTAAATCCAATCTTGCGAGAACAATGGCAGTCTACCATATGGGTCAGTCAGTATCTTGCCAGCCCACTCAGCAATGCCCACCCTCCCGGGAGGCTTAGGTAGTTCGCATGAGTACTGACACGCACATCTCATCAACAGTACTCTTTGAGTTGAAGCCTGGAGTCACTTCGGAGGTCCTTTCTGAGTGGAAGAAGCTCGCGCAGTCGATGGTTGGCCAAATTCCCGGCTTGATAAGGGTTGACCTGAACCCGCCGCATGCCAGCACCGCACACCGATCTCTGGGCTATGATATGGGTCTAGTTGCCATCTTAGACAAGCCCGAAACCCTCAAGGTCTATGCTGAACATCCAGCTCACCTAGCGTGAGTCTTCCCTTCCGCCCAGAGTGTCAATTAAAGACTCGGACAATGCCGGTCGCGAATTGATATTAACTGACGAGGTCTCAGGGTACACAAGATCAGAGAGGAGATTTGCGCCAGGACCATGGTTTATGATCTCGAATATGATCCGTAGTTCGGAAATATGCTGTAGCTGAATCACTACGCCACTCTATCTCTAGGGGGCTCTCCGTCCAGCATTTCCTTCATGTGATCCACCATGCTTATACATGTAGCTGTCTGTACCTCCGCAGGCGATCCGCCAATATGAGGAATCATTATTAGGTTTTCCAGGTCAAAGACGTCCCCGTAGACGTCCCTTGTAGGTGGCTCGCTGACCCACGCATCAACCCCTGCAGATGCAATGATGCCCTCCCTCAGAGCCTGCCAAAGATCCTCTTCGTTGACAACCCCGCCCCGAGCAACATTGATGAGTGTTGCGGTCGGCTTCATTGTCTTTAGTAGTGGTAGTGTGATCAAGTTCTTTGTCGTAGGAAGTAGGGGGACGTGGAGTGACAAGACATCAACCATAGGTAGCATCTCCTCTAATGAGCTCACCCGAACATGAGGTATCTTGCCCCAAGGACTCGTGCCGTCTGCTGGTATGTAAGGATCAAACCTATGACTGTGAGTTCAATAGACCATGTGGTGTTAAAGTCATGATGCACGAACATGAGGATCTTTCCATCAAAGGCACCAAGACTTTTCGAGTCGTCAACAAACCTATATCACTCAAAGAGCTAATGAAGAGTCGCTTACAACTTCTGAGCCGTGAGCTGGCCTATCCTACCTCCGCCAACGATGCCGAAAGTCTTGCCCGTGAGCAATGATGCAGAATATAAGCTTTTCCACTTCTTGTTCAATTTCTCGCCTGCCCTTAGCTGCCGTGAGACTTCGACGAGATTCTTGGCGCAGGCGCCTACGAGTGCAAGTGTTACTTCTGCAACATTCATCGCCTAAATCCTATTAGTCTTTTTGATGTTGCGATTACACAAGGCGGGCTGACACTGATTCCTGGAAGGTTGCATAATATGATCCCATTCTTCTGGCAAGCGTCTGCATCGATGTTATCATACCCTGCCCCATGTCTGACAATAAACTTGAGCTTCTTTGCGCGACCTAACATGTCGGCCGTGACTCGGCTCTTTGCAACAAAGAGGCCGACTGCATGGTCAGGCCACGTCTCGTGAAGAGGATGACCTTGCTCAATGATATCTGGGAATATCTCGCGCATGTATTTGGTGCCTTCTGGGTCGAAAGTGTCAAGGGCCACTAATCCCGACATATTGAGTACAGCGACGGCTTTGCCTTGACCTAGGGGTTTGAAAAAGATAGATGAGTTTGTGCCATGCGTATTGGGTTGGTGATGCCATTGGTATGATATGCGACCTGTTCGGGATACCTTCCCGCGGATGCTGTTCCCGAACCACAACCAACCTGGTGTGGCCATCTGCACTCGCCATATAGATCGAACCGAAGGCTTCACGCTTTTCGTGCCAGATTCAAGACGTTGAAGCCGTTAATTAGTCCAAGTACTCACATATATAGAGAACATCGTGAGTTGCTATCTGTCGACCCATTCCTCCCAACGATACTCCTCATCTCTAGGCTTCCCTGCCTTCACGTAGTTGTGCCACGCCTGATTTTTCCTCCTGGTAATGTTATAATACTCCTGACAAGTTGCTTTTGGATCAACAACGATTCCATTTCCCATTCTTCCATTCGCGCGGTGTCTCTCGATCCTGTCAAGAATCTCTTCACAGTCCTTCCAGATCCTGGCTCTGTTCCTGAGGCCTTTGAGGTCCTTCCACTGGGTCGCAATATCCTCAGCTAATTGCCGCCAATTGGTCGGAGACTTTGGCAGAAATGGTGTGTCGATACTCCGACGGGACTTCTGCATCTCGAGTTTGCGAGCTTCTATCTTCGCTCTGACTGCTTGCAGAGCAGCCTCATTTCCACCCTCGTTTACAAGGATGTGTATGATGATATCGAATTCGTCCTTCTCTTCCTGCCACGCATTGTCCTCTTGTCGAAGGTTCCAAGCGGAAGTAGTTGCCCAGAAGGAGTAAGGTAGATGAGACCATGCTTCCCACAGCCACGGCATGTGCTGGAGGAGGAGCCGATGGAAGAACGACTGGGGCAGCTGTCGAAAGGCTCGTGAGACAAGACGTAGATTCCCGATGTCCTTTGGGCCGAGGTATGATAGCAATTGGTATCGGAGCTCCGGTGGTAGACATGCGAACGAGTCGCTTGGATTGAGCCGTAGGGCACTATCCAGGTCTTGCAGGTCGAACGCAGCCCGATGATAATCCAAGTCTACCGACTTGGAAGCGGTGACGGATTCTAGTATAGGTCCCAATTTTGGCAGAAAGCACGGATTCGCAGCAAGAAACTCATCACCGGGGTTGTGCCTCCACATCTGCTCCATTCCGCGTTTAGCTGCTATGTCTCTGGGAAAGGCGTCAAATTGAAGGAAATCCGCCTCAAGACGGTACCAGTCCATCAAGTCTTGCATTTTGACCTCGCCAGTCCTCCAGACCGAGGCACGCTTGTACACTTCAAGACAAGTAGGGTGAAATGGCATCGCCACTTCATGAGCGATGTTCTCGTCAAAGAAGTTGTTATCCGTCCTTGGCAAATTGCAACCGTGCCGTACGGGGATGACTGTTGGGTCACTATAGTCTCGGCTCGGCATCAAGTCCGTCAAGCCGCTGAGGAAGAAGTCTGCCGTGGCTTCGAAATCCTCGTCATCAGGCTCAGGATGCCACCAACTTGGCTTGGGCACTAGGCACTGAGCCGTGTAGCAGCCGCGCATCTCTTCGGCGGTGATATTGTGTCCGTTGTATCCCGCAGTTTGCTGACAGTCGGGACCGGCTATGTGCTCGAGAAGATCTCCAGAAACGTTTTGGAACGGGCGCTCGTTGGCCTCGTTGACTTGAGGGAGCATTTCCTCTCGCGGCGTCGGAGACGAAGCACGATTCCCCGACAGCGAGCGAACGAAGTCTTGATATATGGCATCAGGTGAGGCTTCCTCGTTTTCTGAATCTGCAGCATCACCTTCCATGTCCATGTCTGTGTCGATGTCCATCTCGTCGGCTATACTTTCCGGTGGAGTGTCAAATTCATAAGGCTCAGTCTCATCCATCTCCTCGTCGACGTATTCAAAGCCCGAGTCCTCGCCGTCGAGCTCGCTGATACCATCCCCTCGCTCCTCCAATGGTTTCTCGGGCCGTCTATTGGCTATCATACAACCCGAGTCTTTACATTGTCGAGATCTCCAGTCATCATCTTCGATGTAAGTGTCCCCTGGAAGGCCGCCCTGGCCGGTCCACGCTGCGGTTCTCGGCTCGTCTGGGCGGCGGATGCGGCCGACATTGAAGCTGATGCCGCAGATGTGACAGTACACTTCTGAATAACCCATCCTCAAACTTCCCTCGAGGAAAAGATGAGAATGACAAAACGAAGTATCGCCTTCCTTCGAGGAGCTCCAGCGATGAGGGATAGGTGCAAAGAAGCATATTTAAATGCTTAGTTTTCAGGGGTTACCGCTGCACAGGCATTATGAGCCAGGGGTTGCTGTGCCTCGCAGCCTGGAATTAGACCCCCGCCAAAACTCCCTGGTACTAGGCATCTCCAGGCTTCAATGGCTCGTGCACGTTGGTACAGTACCCTTTGGAGGAGGGCCTTCTTCACATTTGAGACAAATGGCACTTCAGGCTCTGAAGACCTACGTGTGAGTGCTGTGTATGATGATGAGCTACCAGGGTACACTACTATACTGGAGTTGGCATGGGAAATGAGTCACATGTTTGCACAATGAACTTGGAGGGACAAGTCAACGACCGTTCGAGGGTACTACAGCCATTCATCTCTAGCAAAACTACGCACGAGTTCGGTGAGTTCAGTGGCTGCTCTGATCACCATTCGTCCATGTGTAGTCGGATGAGTGATAGCTTGAAATAGTGGAAATTCAACCAGTCGACCCTATTAAGCCAGCTTTACGACTACAGACAATGGCGTGGCCGTGCTAGTGACGCAGGAGCGCTGGAGAGACGAGTGCTCTACCTTACGCGGAACCTTAGATGGCCATTTGTCTCCTCGGTCTTCCCAATATCATAGATTTGCCAGTGGCTAGGCGACGGCGAAGCAGTGACTTGGAGTGGGCGTGTCCTCTACGATTAAAGGTTGCCTATGCGCCCGGGTCCCTACCTCGAATGTAACGCGGTGCGATCGTGACGGTAGATGTCGCGGGCTGTTCTGGCAATTCCTACCTCAAAGGCGGGTGCCGCCGGGCAAACGAGAAGGACCGCCGGACCGGACACGGGGGGTGAGGATGATAAAAGTCCGCGGTGTTCGGCGGCGTTGACTCGCAATGGTCGATGCATCGCCTATCAAGCCGTTCGGAGGGATATCTTGACCCGCGCCGGAATCTGGTCGATGAGAAAATGGCATGCCAGGTCTGTCGGTCTCGCTCCCGCCAGTATTCCATCCCATCTGCGCCTCTGTTATACAGTGTATTCCATCATGATCCTCCTCTTACGCGTCTGCCCCTCAAGGACGGTGCTTGGCGATTCCGAGAGGGCGTGACGAGCCTCTTTTGAGAAGCGAGTGCGACAAGATTTGACATGTACGCTCGCTGTCCTAATCTGTTTTGGGCATGGTGGGCGAAAGTTTAGATCGTGGCAGTGTCCGTTCGTGTCGGAATCCCAGCTTCCTAACACAGAAGATGATTAATAGACTTTGCTGACGCGACATGGGCGGGCGGCTCGGTGGTTTGGGGTCATTCCGACCTCCCGCCGAATCAGCACCGACAACACAGATGCTCAACGTCTCGTGTCTCAGGTGTGGTAAATCCCAGACGAGCTCAGCGTGAACGCATTGAAGTAGTGGCAGACGTATTAACCCAAGACAATCTGAGCTTCTCGAGATCTGCTCTCTTGAGTAGACTGCCCAAGTGTAGACTAATCAAAGCAGCGGTGGCCAGCAGCTGTTGGCAGGTGAGCAGGTCCCACGCGACGGGCCGGCAGCAGCGTTATCAGCATTGAACGTTGAAGGCTACCGTTGACGTTAACGCTAACGTTATCGGTGGATGCTGCCCGAGCCCCCGCCGGCACAATGAAGATCCGACTTTTTTCCCCACCTTGGCTCTGGACGCTGACATCATTGGCTCGCCATCTCTTGGTCACTGCCCAGGTGGAAACGGGACTGAATCCCGGCCATTCGAGAAACGGGGAACGGGCCACCCACCTCATCGGGTGATGCAACAGAAAAGGCCCGCCATTCACGAATCTTGCCAAGGAGCAGATCCAATCGCCCTCACTGGCGTATCACTGGCATATCGTGACGTACTCGCACCAGGGGGCGCAGCAGGGTCCAGTCCGGGCACCGTCCATTCACGACAGGCCATCTCGAGTGCAGTGTGAGGTGATTCGGTCGATTGAATCCAAATGGTTACATCTGCTGCCGCATCTGCATCTGCATTTGCTGCATTCATTCTGGAACGATCTTGGCTTCCACTCGATTTCCTCATCGATGTCACAGCCTTAATTACCAAACCCTCGCATTCGTTTCTTCTTATCCCTTCTTCTCTTTCCTTTGTCTCTTTTGCCTCAAAAAGAGAGTGATGGAAGACCGCAGTAAGTAATCACCACAACCGGCCCACCACGCAACTGCATTTCGACTGCTTTTTTGTATACAACACCCTCGCGCGCTTTCTCTTGGCTATTGTCCCTCGATCGATAACAATGTCCAACCTTGAGCCCTACATCCAAGAGGCGGCCGCTCTCGCCCCCTCCCTATCCTCCACACTCGAGAAGCAGCTCGACCCGACCGGCGAGGACTACGCAAACCCCCTCGAGGAGAGCTCCCGATGGGTTCTCTCCGCCCGCGCATACGGCATCCGCTCTGCCGCCTCTCTCGCCTTCAGCATAGCCAATAGGCAAACCCCCGTCGCCCCCTCGCCCACCAAGATCATATGGCTCGACTCCACGCTATCACCCGAGTGGAAGGGCAAGCAGAAGCTGAGAGTGGAGGTCTGGATACCTAGGAAGAAGATCGGGCTGAAGAGGACGGCCATCATCAATTTCCACGGCGGGGGCTTCGTCCTGGGCAACGGCACGGACGATGCGAGGTGGGCAGACTCGGCGATGAAGGACCTCGACGCTGTCGTCTTCTCCGTCAACTACCGCCTAGCACCCAGCTACCCCTTCCCAACGCCTGTCGAGGATTGTGCCGACGCCATTCTACAAATCTCCAAGCGGGCAGACGAGTTCGGCATCGACAGGGATCGAATCATCCTCACCGGCTTCTCAGCAGGCGGCTCGCTGGCCCCGGCCAGCTGGGCTCTACTACAAGATCCCAAGAGGTGGAACTACAAGCTGTCGTCACCCGTTCCAAACATCGCCGGCATGGCCCTCTTCTACCCGCTTCTCGACTGGTCCATCAGCCGGCCCAAGAAGCGCCAGTGCAGCGTCAAGCCCGAGCTCACGCTCCCCAAGAACCTGACCGACCTCTTCGACGCCTCCTACGTGTACCCGCCGATCCCGCGCGAGAAGCGAGACGATCCCCGCCTGTCGCCCGGCCTCATGCCCGATGAGATGCTGGAGCGCTTCCCGCCGCTGCATCTGTGCCTCTGCGAGCACGACATGCTGCTAGCAGAGGGCCACACGTTTGCCGAGCGCCTAAGGGGCAAGGACAAGCCGGTTGAGGTCCGGGTCGTGAAGGAGGCCAAGCATGCCTTCGACAAGCCTTTGCCCATGGCACCGATCAAGGAGGTGCAAATCGAATACGACTCTGCCGTCCAGTCCATCAAAGGATGGCTTCGGAAGTAATACAAACATAGACACACAAAAGCAAAGGCATAGAGGCCGAACTTAAAGGAGTCCTGGTAGAGTGTATTTTAGGTGTGCGATTACGATTGTATGACTACCTTCTAGGTATTAATGAGCAACAAAAACAACAAGCAATTTATACAGTCCCGTTCCCAACAGCAAAGCAGTGATAATCAATGACGACGCCATAAAGCCTTCGCAGCACGAACTTTTCGGGGTTTTGCCAACCACCTCATTGCCATAATCAGCCATTGCACCCATGAATTTGTCATTCTGAATAAGTTTTCGCATCCAGCCCTACCATTGTCCGCCAAAGGCATTACAACTCATGAACATCTGTGGGATGACATTTACCATTTCTTCTCTGATTTCGTACGCTTTTGCGGCATTAGGCCGAAGGGATCAGACCGGGACAGCTGGTGCCGTAGCGGGTGCCACAGCCGGTGCGGTCACTGGCGGAACGGCTCCTGCAGTTCCTGGCAAGCGCTTGTCCACGAGAGGCGCGCCCACCGGGGGCAAAGCGTCGGGAATGTTGGGAACAAGATGCCACCCATAGATGAGTATATCGAGGAGGACGTTGCTCAAGGCGAAGACGCTGACACGAGAGTTAACACCAGACTGGCTGGCCCGCGTTGCAATGCAAGGAAAACATACAATGCAAGCCAACTGAACGCCTCCGCCACGCGGATTCTCTGACACCAATCGGGTGTGAAGCTGCAGATGGATTTTCTACGCGTGTCCGCGGTGACAGCGGCGGCCAGCCAGATGTAGGAGAGCATCACGCTAAATGGAAGCATTCGCCCGCGGTAGGTGGCGCGGGTGCTCAGCAAGAGGCCGACCACAGCAGCCAGGATGGTTCCTCCGGCCTAATGGGCAGTCAGCGGTAGATCTTGAACGCGTTGCATCGGCATCAGGTGCAGGAGTCTGGATGCTCACAATGATGATGCCGATGATAGTGCCTGCAGAGGGCCCTCCGCCATTGCGAACAGATGATTCGAAGTTCTGGACGAAATGAGCGAGGATGAAGAGAACAACGGCAGCCGAGCACCAGAGGAGAACATTGCTGAGGGTGAGGAGTGGGCGCAAGAGACTTGGGCGTGGCCAGAACATCGTCTTGAGATCAACACCAAGGCGAGGGCGAGATGTATCTATTTGCCGTCGCAAGCTCCGATGCTCGGTGTTGTCGTGGCTCGTATATTGACCTCTATTTGTTTTGTCGAATAAACAAACTGAGCAACAAGCGCAATAGAGCCAAGCAGAACTAGAAAGCTGCTCGATAAAATGTAGCTTGTGTTTGCTAGTGGATGATGATGTGGCACCCTGGAGGAGAAGCAATGGATTGGAGGAGAGGAGAAACAACACGTGTGGGCAATAGGAGTAGAAGCTCCGAGGTCAAGACTTGGCCGTTAGATATTGAATCATCGTGGGGAGGTGCAAGCCCAGGTACTTTCCATCTATCGTCATGTATCAAGCAGAAGGTGCGACTGCCACTTGTGTCAATTTCTTGTGATGATAGAAGTGCAAATTGGGAAGTAACTCCCACGTAACTTCCTCTCAACTTAAAATGTTCTCAATAAAGTAGTCAAGTTTTCTCGACTCCTGGTGTAGTGAAGCATCAACACATAAGTGAAGAGTCAGGACTTAATCCAGCGCCTTCCGTCGCCAATTGGTGCGCGATTGCACCATTGCCTGACACACCATCGTCCTGCTTAGATCTTTGAGTTGCTTTACTTACAATATTCGCTCGACTTCTGTTGATGATAGTCCTGGAGGCTTCCAAAGGTTGATATAAGCACCTGGTGAGTCCTGAGACAGCTTTATGCCAGCCGAAAGAATAGTCTTATCGTTGAGCAGGTCGAGGCTATTCTCTGTTTAAATGCGCCATATGAGATATAGCATGTCAATCCTTTGCAATCATTAAATTCTATAGACTTGAACCAGCATCTCGAGATGGACTGTTTCCCAATGAACACAACACCAACTTCAACAGTAATGTCTTCACTTCAGCTGTTTAGACTGCAAAGACGTCGTTTCCTCGGTACAGGGGCGCAACATCTTGGTCAGCATCCGATATTCAGGAACGAGGACCAAATATTCCACGTTGTTAGCCGAGACCAGTGGCCCATACCAACACAGTCTGGGCTGCACGAGGCATCGGGCTCCTCACTAACCGTGACTCAACACGAGCAGCTTCTCATGATTTGCTTGCCATGGTGATTAAGTTCTGACTACTCAACACCGAAAGCGAAGCTAACCAGGGTCATGTCTCAAGGATGACAGCTCGGGTCTCCCATCTAGGAAAGCCGGACCAGGCACCACACGTGCCAAGCACAGGCACCCGGCCGAGGACCGTCGTACTGTGCCGTTCGCTTGCGGGAAAGTCTTTCGTTGCTCGGTAGGGCATCGTTTGCAGAGATCACATCTAAGTCTTGTTGTTTGGATCAGCCACGAGTTAAGGTCGGGCCACAATATCATCTTCGTTCAACTGCCAATGCATCGTTCCTGCGTCTCTGGACAAGCCGAGACGGTCTGATCTCCGGTTCAGTGCTTCCGATAGCGTTGCAAAGTTGGGGGAACATTTTTGATGTGATTGTGCTAGTGCTCTTGGCTCTTATTCCCGCCACCCAAATCTTGCCCCAATTCGGGGTTATCTCCAGCGACACCGCTGCTGTGGATCTTCCCAGGCGAGTGCCATCCACTGATGACGCAGAGGCTGGCAAGGAATGCGGGGAGCAAACAGAGATACGGCACAGTACTGGTCTCGGACTCACATCTCTGTGGGGGACAGGTGGATCGGTGGGGAAGATATCGCCAACTCTCCAGGTTAGTCTTGGTGGTCTGCTGACAATTTCAATGTCCTTACTTGCCTTAGTAGTGCGCCTTCGGGGTTTGACCCCCGAGTACTCGAGATGATCATTCAAATTGTGCCATGAGTCCCCCTTCGCGTGTGTGGTCCTTCCGCTTCTTTTCAGACCCTTATAGAAACATCTGTCAAGGAGGGATAGAAGGAGTTTTTCTACTCTACTGAGTTTGAATCTTACACAAGGGGTTCCTTCTATATCTCTCTTGCAGATCACCATGGCGGGCTCAGGTGCCTATACTTTCGGCATTGCGCTATTCGCCGCAATCGGCACGTTTCTCTTTGTAAGCCTCCAAGCGATCGGTTTTGCATATGCGCATCTGTTAACACTATGCAGGGCTTTGACACGGGCATTGCTACCACAAGTAAGTTATACGAGTTCTCAAAGACAAGATATCTTGAACTAATGAACATCTTAGCCATCGCGCATCAAAGCTGGATTGATTACATGGGAAACCCTTCCAAAGGCCTCACTGGAGCCGTAAGATTGAAACTCGCCCCTTGCTATCACCGGTGCCATTCTGAATGTGCTTTAGGTTGTTGCTGTTTATATTGCCGGTGAAGCTGTTGGTGCTTTGATGCAGACAGCCATCGGTGATACCCTTGGTCGTATTCGATTCAGTGAGTAACATTTCACTCATAGACACAGAGCTTGATTCACCATTTCTTTGCCCTGGGAGGTTCATCACTAATTTATACATTGCAGTGCAATTAATGTGTATAATTGTCACTATCGGAACGGTCATCCAGACTGCATCGCAAAACATTGGCATGTTCCTGGCAGGTCGTGTTCTGGCAGGTATCGCTGTTGGGTAAGGCTACTAATTGATTATACTACGATAGCCGTCAGACTAATCACCTCCTCATGTCATAGTGGAATGGTATCGACAGTCCCTATCTACCTTAGCGAGATCTCCTCGCCGAAGCACCGTGGCCTGATCGGTGGAATATCTGGATGCGGTATCTCCTTTGGAACGATGATGAGTAACTGGGTGGGATTCTCCTGCTCTTACGCACCGTACGGACCAACCCAATGGCGCCTACCCTTGGGTATACAGGTGCCGTGGGGTGTGGTCATGTTCATTGGTCTTGCGACTTTTATGCCCAATTCCCCGCGGCAGCTTATTCGAGCTGGGAAATTTGAGCAGGCTCGTACCGAATTCATCAAAATCCGACGTGATCTTCAATCTCATGAGGTCCACGAAGAGTTCGCCCTCATGAGAGCTCAGATAGAGTTCGAGATGGAACGTGAGATCAAGTCATACAAGGAGATATTCAGGCTGTTCCGACACCGAGCTCTTGTCTCTATTGCTGTACAGACTATGACAAGTTTGACAGGAGTCAACGTCATCCAGGTAAGACACGCTAATAATATCAAGTCATAGGGCACACACTAACATCTACTTCTTGTAGTATTATCAAAGTACACCTCGCTATCTGATTGTTCCTGTATCGCTATACTAATTAATTTTCATATAGCTATCTTATACAAGTCGTTGGGGATCGAGTCCAAGACGATTCTTGCCTTGGCAGGTGTGTACGGTACCATGGCTTTCCTGTCCAATGCCTTAACAACCAAATTCCTCACTGATCAATGGGGTCGGCGAAAGTCAGTCAAACAGTATCGAGCAATCTGTGAATGGCACTGACGCTTGGATAGGATGATTCTGACTGGCCTTGGCGGAATTATTCTTATCGAGATCTACGCTGCAGTGATGCAACGTGAGTTTCAAAACACCGAGAACAGAGTTGGAAAGGGCTTTGCTGTGCTCGGCATCTATCTCTTCGTTGTCAACTACTGTATGCAAGCCCCTGACTTTCTCTCACTTTCCCACAAGCGTGTTTTCCATAAGCTAACATTGTGCAGATGGTATGCTTAATAGCACAACTTGGCTATACGGCGCCGAAGTTCTACCAATGGCTCTACGAAGCAAGATCATGGGCATCGCTTCTGCGTCTCATTTTATTGTCAATGTTGCGAGTACGTTCCCTCTCTTGTTCGTCCCAGTATGAACCGCCCTGTTCTAACCGATTATAGTCACTGAAGCTGGCCCCAGCGCGTTTGCGAACATTCACGAGAATTACTACTACGTGTTTGTTGTGTGTACGGCTTTCTTCCTCGTGGTTGCATACTTCTATTTCCCGTGAGTTTCCTCTTTTGTATTCGAACTAGTGTAGCGCTAAGACGGTGACAACAGCGAGACAAAACAGAAGACTCTGGAAGAGATCGCAGCAGCATTTGGCGACAAAGTTGTCCTGCTGACGGACTTGGATGTTCAGGCAGCGGGTGTAGTAGATGCCGACAAGGCCAACATGGAGCTTGTGGAGACTGCATCACAGCATAGCCACCGGGAGACTGCTTGAGACAAGATTGAATTTGAAGGCGCTGCCAGTTAGTCGTGGGCAGACATCAATAGATCATTGTAAATAGCGGTGCTCTCCAAGGACAACCAGCTTTAAGACTATCAACGAAACTTGCTCATCTACATCCTTCGGGTATTCAACAGGATGTGGCTATCTCGCGATCCATAAGTTTAGAACAAGGGAAGCACAATCCCAAAGATATCATCAAGACTAAGATCTCATCTCTCAGATGAGACTTCTATCCCTGCCCGTATATATTCAAAATGTTATTTGCGGCATGTTCTCCGCTCAAATAAGCCCCTGCAACAGTGCCACACTCCTCGAACGGAGCGGCATGCTCGCCACAGAACCATAAGCGCCGCTCACTGCACCCTTGCCTGAAGGCAAGGACATCTTGATCTGCAGCTTCCGTGCCTACTGGGAAATTGCAGTAACTTGCACCGCCGGCAAGCTCGTCTTTTAACCATTCAGTTGCCAGGATAGCCTTGGGTGTGCAGGACTCATTGTCAGCCGAGTAACATGGAAGTCTGGAGTAGTACGGGTGGAAAAATTCATCGAGAAGACGAAATTTCTCTGCCGGAGACTTGCCATGAATCATATTGACAATGTATCGAGAGCAATCACCGTAAAGGTAGAATAGAATGGTAGGATGATTATGCGGTGATCTAAAAGTAGAGAGATCCCAGATCTCTTGGGGCCAAGCTTCCGGATTGCTGTCTCCGGCGTAACTTGGTGTGAGCCAGTTGACATAGCATGGGAAGGTGTCGGCGGCTGGATCAGAATTCCAGAATACCGACGGGAAGGTGATGAACACTTTCTCCAGCTGTGACAACCCTAAGTTACCAACAGCCGATGAGAGTCGTTTGGGGAGAGGTGGCGAGAATACGTCAAGGTTGTGTTTTAGCCAGCCAAGAGGTGCCGTCATGACGACTTCGTCGAAGGAGAATGTCTCCGCTCCATTGGATTGGACAATAACTTTGTTTCCCGACGATCGACTTTCAGGGCTTGTAATTGAAGTGACGCGCTTTCCGAGCAAGATTTGAGCCCCCTTTAGGGCAGGGCTGGCAATGTATCTGAGTATGGCGGCGTAGTTTGATTCAACAAACATTTCATCTTGGATATCAGTGTCAACAATGTATTAAGACTTGCGAACTCCGCGACTTACCGCCACCACAGCATTCCTCCATCCAAGCAAACCTCAGACTCTGCCTCCACACTGGTTCGCCCACATACGCCCCAAACATCTCGCTCATCTGAATGAGAAGTGAACGTTCTCGTTCATCAGACACAAGGTCCTTCGCCTTGCTACTGATGAAGTCATACAGGGACTGTTCAGCAGGGATCCTAACAGCCTCTTCGCTGCTATCATCGTGCGCTTTTTGGCTGAAGTTAAATGCTTCCTCTATGATTTCCCACAGCAGCGACGATAAGCGATCCGTTACTTCGTCTGGAAGAGGTTCACCGGCAGAGTCATAGATCAGCTGCTTGTTATTCCAGTGATGCAGCGGCGTGCTGGTCGCTGTGGCCGCATGGTAAATCGGATGTGGAACTTCCGAGTCTGTCCACGCGTGTATCCAATTAGGGCCACTAAGTCTTTGTGTCAGATATGGCAGGGATAACAAAAGCCAATTCTACTGACATATCTACTATATATCCCAATCCTTCAGACTGGCATATCTGCCGAACAGTTAGATTGAGTGCGTGAGCGGCAATGGGGAATACGGCTACTGTACCCGTCCTCCAATTCTGTCTCTAGCTTCAATAATGGTGACTTCAAAGCCCTGAGACAGCAGCTTGTCGGCACAGCGGAGGCCTGAGATCCCCGCGCCCACGATGCCAACATGCCGGGGCTTGCTAGGGCTACTTTCGAACGACTTTCCCATAGTGCCTTGCGTGAGGTCATCAAAAGGGGGAGCACGACAACTTTGGTCTCACAATGACGCTGCGAGACTCTTCACTTTAAATGACACTCGTCCATATCGGGTGCGCAGCTCTTCAGCTTCCTACTTAGTTCCAGATGTGTGGTTTTGATCGCAATTCTTCAGCGGCCGCCGGCACTGTGGGCAATTCGGTAGGCAGATTGGTCCAGAGGCCCAAATCGACCCAACGCCTGGTGCACTAACGTTAGTGAGAGGCAACCGGCTGATAATGCTGATACTTGGACTGCCGCTAGTTAGGTGCTTCGCCCCAATGTCTTGCTTAGCCTCTCGTGCCGTCCCGGTGGTGACAGCAAGGACCGTGCCAGTCAAGCTGGCCCATGCTTTTGATATCATTGCCTTAGTTGCTCTCATCTTTCTGCATGAATCTCTCACCCAGGAACTGATGCCTTCTAAAGTGAGCTTCAATCACTTTCGGCTTTCAGGATTCAGAGCGTCTTCCGCCGTAACCGGATACTCGTACGCAGCTAAGCGCTTGTGGCGTTCCAACTTGCGCACTAAATGTCGCGGCATTACGGCTAGACAGAAGAATCCAAGCAGAAATCATTCATGAGTTTCCTAAGAGACAAGCGAGACCGCCGATCACCCTCTCCAGTGCTTCTCCGCTAACCATTGCCGTCGTAGTCGTCTTCTTTGCCGCATGGGCGTACTGTTGTATCTTGGCTTGGAAGATGCTGTGCCACCACCAATTCACGAAGGGCCTAGGGAACCCCTCGATGTTCTATCGAGTCCGTCACTCTAGCGAATGATCCCCCTTTGTGCTAAGACCATCCGGTCAACGCGTTCAAGGATAGGAAAGCAAGGGGCCGTTCCCGAAAGAAGCATCGTGCCTCCGGAATATTGACCCTGAACCACATCCATTGGCCAAGAGTTGAAGAGTCCCCCCTCCTCATAACGGTGCGGCTGAGGCAGTGCCCCGCACGCTTTCCGAAACAGCCAGTGGAAGACTCAGTGATCATTCCTGGGGGGAGAGACACAAGCCAGCCAGAAGGCAGATTTCCCGCTCCGATTCCGTCCCTATTTGCAGGAAGAGAGGTCTGGCCCAGATCTCCGTACTTGTGGCTGGCATAACTACTTACATGAACCCCTCGCGCCTCGCAGCTTCAACGGCCGCCACAGCACAAGCCATCTCCTGCACCATTCAACGCACAAACACACTCGAGAAACCCCCACTTGGCATTCGAATCACGGACCAAAGAATCATCAAACGCCAAGCATGAGTCTTGGTTTCGGTGTTGGCGACCTGGTGATGGTGACGAGTTTGGCGTGGAAATTATACAAGGCATGCAAAGATTCTGGTGATGACTTCCGGAACCTGTCCCATGAGCTTATGTCGCTGGACGCTGTTCTGCGCGAGACTTCCGACTATCTGACAGAACACACGGGCCTAGAGGTGTCGCGCCGGAATCGTTTGAACATCATCTGCTCAGGGTGTCTCCAGACATTGCGCGATCTGGAAGAACTGGTGAATAAATATCAAAGCTTAGGTACTCAGGCACAGCGCGCATGGGATCGTGTGCGCTTCGGACTCCGCGACATATCAGACCTGCGTCAAAGGGTTGTGTCTTCCGTCACGCTTCTCAACGCCTTCAACACAACATTGCTCAAGTAAGCTTGATGTCCTTTTTCGCTTTCTTTTTAAACGAAAGAACGGCGCTCGCTCGAGATCATCGCCGTGCTAGGAATGAATCAATCACTCATCGTCAAGTACTAACCTCACGGTTTAGTTCATCGCATGTACGCATGGAGAAGAAACTTAACAAGCTGGTGGATGAGGTTCAGGCCGGTCTCCGCGAGGGCTCCGTTATAAGTACCAAGGATGTTGTGGAGACCATCGACTCTCCTGATGTCTGGGCGGAGCTACGACGAGAGTTGGAGGATATCGGGATAAGTAACGTCGTAGTGGAGGAGAACCGCGATTTCATCCGCGACTGGATGAAGACTGCCTTGTCAGAAGGATCCATGGAGGAACGATCACCACCCCCAAACACAGATCAGGGTCGCTCCCTCTCATGTCCGAATGTGTTGCTCGAGCAATGGCCATCTCGATCTTCGCTTGTTCCGCCCAGTGACTCCGGCTATGGCAGTGGAGAGTCTATTCGAAGGTCGAGTGTCCTATCCCTCAACACCGCAAACGCAGATTTTGAGAAAGAGCTACAGCAGCAGCGGACAAATCGATCTGTGGGAGACATTTTGGACTATATGTCTGTGGAGCCGTTAGTGACACCAAAGGTCAAGAAGAAGAAGGACCCGGGTGCGCTTCTACAGAAATTGTTCAAGAAAGACACTGCTATTGTCCAGGCGGCTAGCGACGGAGATATCGAGAAAGTCGCAAGGCTTATCAGTGTCGGTAAAGACGTCAACGCCCGCGATACATGGGGTTGGTCAGCTCTCAGCATGTGCGGTTACGGCGGACACAAAGCCATTGCGAGACTTCTTCTCGACCACGGCGCAGATCTTGACAATATCGACGTGGACGGCGATACGCCATGGAGTCTTGCCACTCAACGGGGACACGCAGAACTGGTTGTTATGTTTGATGAGGAAAGAGCAGCCCGGGACCTAAAGTTGAGAGAGATGGACACTGAGGTTCCCCGACCGTAAGTTGTGCTTCCCTTTCTCACTGACAACTGTTACGATAGGCCCTTTGTCAGCTAACTCAACAAATTGCCTGATAGTGTCAATATGTGATTTAAATTTGAAGCTTGAATTCCTAAGTACATATTTGGGTTGGCAGCGAGGAGTTCAGGTGCTTCAACGCTGGCCGATGGCAGCTCTTCGGTATTATATCCCGAATTCGCGTTGATTTGAATATACCATAGTGGCGTGGCTTCTGAGATATTCTCCAAAAATACGGCAATTTATTGATACCATGTTAGACAAGATTCATCAAAACGTCCCTTGACAATATTGCAATACCAAATCTCTGTGCCATACTTGGAAAGGACGTTTTAGGATTAGGTCGAACCGAAGCTGTTTTGAATAGGGCCAGATATTTCATCTAGAGTTCATCCTTGATCCTTTCAGATCTCTCATCCATCTGCAATTGTTTTCTTGCCTCTTCCCTCTCTTTCCTCTTTTGTCTTCTCTCATGTCTCCGGATTGACAAATGGGCCTTCTCCCAAAACAGCCTATGCGCTCTTCCTTCTGGAGTCTCTAGCACATGGTAAGCTTTGATTTTGAACGTGATCTCCGTCTTTCCGTGTTTTGGATCTGGCCATTCGTGGTCTATTGGCCAAGCAATTACCCCGTCATCGGTGGCCTGAGGGCCGTACTTCGACAAATCTAACAGCTCAGCTTCAAAGATCGAGTCAGTATATGCAATGTATGCAATGTTCTCTGCAGCAGGAGGAATGCATACCTTCACAGTTGCTTCCCTTAGCTACCCACAGGGGAAGTATCTCATAGATTGCACCGGCAGGGAAAACTAGCACCTTGTCTTCGTCGCGTGCATCTCCTCCCTTGGCTGGAGCCCACTTGGGCTCGCCGCCCCTTGGACCATCGTCCTTGTCAGGCTTCGGCTTCTCGTACACACTAAATAGCCATGGTTTGCCGTTCTCCGCATCATGCTGCTGCGCGTCTATCCAATCCAGTACCGGCGCCGGAACATCCTTGTACTCCATCACGATGATTTCTCGTTTATCGTGCTTATGGTCGACGCCGTCCCAGCTTCCTGCATACATGTGCCCATTTATCATCGACTCTACAACCCCAGCCCACGGCGACTCGGCATTCTTGAGATCGGAGAGCTTGTGCTGGTGTGCCTTAAACGTGCCTATCGCTTGGCAGGGCACATTGAACCCCCCTGGCGGCAGCCCATCATCGGGAAATGGCCGCACCCATTTAAAGTCCTTCACTATCGGGTGACTAAGAATATCCCAATTGAAAGCGACCACTGCCGCGGTATGGATGAGGTATGAGACAATCCCGCCGTTGATTTTCATGGTTGCAAGCGATAGAAGGCCGGCAGTTTCAAAGGATAATAGACCATCCGCAGCCAAGAGGGTTTCTTGAAGTTGAAAAGAGATTGGAATGACATCGCTTTTCAGTCAAGGATAGCAGGCACCGTCAAGCTGTCCTTTTAGTATCTTCTTTCTTATTGGGCCCAGAGATCTTCCTCCTTCCGCGGGTTGATGCGGTAGTTGGTATAGGCTAATTGGACGTTGCATATGTCACCTATCATAACACGAATTGGCAATCTGTAAATTAAGACACGCTTCTAGGTTTTTCCATTGCATCGGCAATAGGATTCGATTGGTGCAACCAGACATCATATCTCAGTCATGTTTCAAGAGAGAAAAACAAGCCTCTTGGATTGACTGCTTATTCACACGTCTTCATGTCCCTGAAGCCTCCGCCAAGACACTTGAATCAATAAGCCCAGCCAAGTCACTCCTCGATATTGCGCTTCGCCTATCTGCTTTGGCAACCCACTGGTCTTCCTCGGCAAGGACGTCAAGTAGATCGGGTGCTATAGAGCCTTTGAACTTATGAATAGACCATATAGACTGAAGCAAGGTCGTGTTCATGCCAAGAGCGGAGGCAACACGAGGTTGAATAGTACTTGGCTCTGTATCAAACACTTTCTCTGACTGATTCAATGCTCGAATGAAGTCCACGATGTTCTTCCTCATCGCTGGGTCTTTGAGCTTCTCGGCGGTAGTGTGGAGATTGAATATTTCTCTGTAGGCTGTTTGATTTCCAAACATGATTGAATTAGAGCCCAGCGCCTGAGCTGCCAACTCGACGGTTGGCTCCCACATTCCAACTGCGTCAACCGTGCCGTGAGCAAGCATGTATGGAAATGTACCCGAGCCACAGGGGGCAGCCATGCACACGTTGCCGGAGACGACAGTGTAGTCCGACTCCTTCAGACCGACTGTTGCAAGATATTTCTGCACAAAGTAGGTAGCGGACGTGCCAGGGATGGATCCAATCTTCTTTCCCTTCAGATCCTTGAGCGAGCTTATGCCCGACTTTGAGTTGGCGACTATACGATAGTAGACCTCGGCGACGGTGTAAATGATGCGAAGGTTCTTGTGCGATGCGTAGTTTCGTAGTGCTTGGGTCTCGGCATTTCCGGCGAGGTCGACACTGGAGTCGCTGAAGAGGTTTGGAACGCCACCGTTGACGATTTGCGCGGTGCCTTTGAAGTAGTCCTGAATAGCGACTAGCTCCGGGGTATACTCGATAGTGCTCAGTGAGCTAGCAATCTTCAGAGTCGAGCCCAAAGATATAAAGATCGCGAGAAAAGCCAGAAAGCAAGTCATGATAAACTACAGCGTCTCCAAAAGCGTCTCATACCCGGTGCCGAGTACATGACACGCATTCATCCTCCAGTACAGCAGCGCTGGAGCCCTGTTGGCTCTTATAAGTGCGTACACACAAAAACTTTAACAAAGTAACCGAGAGACCTCGCCGTCGATGCAAGCTTCGGTGTAGACGTTCATTTGTCTTGGCTTTTGCCGGGCAGACCCGGTAAAGTACATGACGTTAAGTGAGGAGGTAATTGTCAATGGTATTGGAAATGACACTCATGCTATATAGCTCTTGAATAGGTCTCGTCTCGGCAATTGCACTGCAAAGGGCACCATTAGTCCAGAGAAGAGGTAGTTACAACCCCATTGGTTGTCCTAAACGCATCCCCTCGATGGAAAATCTGGGGTAACTATCATCCCTTTGTATGAAAATAGATTGATATTACAGATGCAACTTTCGACCACTCAGCTGTCCAGATGTTCTCTTGGTGTGTGCACCTTTCCGAGGAGCAGTCGAAACAAGCTCGGCCGGCATTCGTGAATTGCCACACATCCTCTTGGCCAATGAGATGGCCATGTGATGGTGAAGGTTGACAAGGAAAATGCCTGCACTTGAAACCGCACACTTCACAGGCTGAATCAGAAATCTTACAGTATCGACTACGCAAACGTTCGGCGAAACAGTACCCAAAATCCAGATGAGCAACTCGATCTAACAACTGCGTTGATGATTCCATGTACGGTCGATAGAAATTCATATATATACACTCAAAAGATGCATTCGTCATGCGCCGGCATAAGCCCATAATTACAAAAACATTTACCTATCGCACCGAGAGCGGCGGGCCCCTTCCTTCTCCCTGCGAAGCCGTAAGGGTCGAGACTGGTTCTTCCCAGATCATCAGAATCGGGAGTGCACCCGTCGGCCGCCAGCAATGATTCATACGTTATTCCAGAAACCCCCTTCAATGCGTTCTGCTTAGGCTGCGCGAAGCGTAACCCAAGCAGCCCAGCAGATGCAGCATTCATGAAGCCTTCGATAAAAAGGCAAAAGCCGTAGATTGTCTGTCCGCCCTGTACCGTATCCATCGTTTTCGAAACACGCTAGTGTCCCTCATCATGTTCTTTCAGGAGGAAAGTTCATCGCCAATTGGACAATCGTGAACCCCTTACCGGACCTCGTCAACGCTGACTCTGGTGGTCCGCCAGTCCTGGACGGTGTTGTCCCTCTTGGCGAGGGAGCCAAAGCCTGGCATAGAAGAGAAGCGGTTTAGACGCTTGCCGGGCTTCTCCGGTGAGGCGCTGGCTGATGCGGCACTGCCGGTGCTCTGCTGGGAGTGCTTGGTCGAGCTGGTGGCGCTGGAGGAGCCTGTGGTGTTGGGGGTGTTGTAGATGTACTCGCCATCGACGTAGACGGCGTTGGAGACGAAGGTGGAACGGCGATGGCGGCGGCGGGTGTAACGCTGCTCGAGCCTGAAAAGCTCAATCTTCTGCTGGAGTCGCTCGATGAGACCGGGAGCCATTGTGGCTAGCTGGATATGTGGCTGACTTGGGATGTCGCTTCAGGTGTGCCGGTAGACCTTGGTGATGAGAGAATTGCACGACCAGCGCAATCAATAAATTGACCGTCTCAGAACGGTGGCTCGTGCTTCTATTGTGCTCGGTGATCCACGATCGTGAGATCTCGTTGTATGTCTTTATGTAGTAGACTTCTTTGTGCGTTTGCGAGGGCGGATTGCAATCGTTTTCAGTTCGACGAGACAGAGGTGCAGGGAGCGACGTGGGTGGGGCAGCGAAACAACCAGAATCAGAGAAAGAAAAGAGAGAAGAGAGATTAATGAGAGACTGCTCTGGCCCTTATTGCGTATGGTCTCGTGTGGCAGGTTTGCTATCGCGAGAATCCAGCAGGGCGGTGGTTGGGAATCGAAAATTGGAAGAGAGAAGAGGGCGAGGGAGAAGGAGGAGTTGAAGTGCCTGGCGATGGCGGGAAAAAGGAGAGCCAGTCAACTAGCTACCTGGATAGCCAGCTGGAAAGAAAAGACGACATAGGATTCCCACCTTCCTACCGCCATCTAGCAGGTATCTTTTCCACTTGCCTACCTTGTCCCCTTGCCTTGTTAGCAGCTCAATTGATTGATTAATTGGCCCCGACGCCCCTGTAGATCCCCACAATCGCTTCCCATTTGACGTTAACGTCGTGTTGAGTGCAGCGAGTAGGTGAATGCGTTAGAGAGGCGAAGTCCTAGTCCACGTTAATGCAGAGCTTTGGCCCTGCAATGCCTGGATGCCTCGATTGTTCCTCGTTTTTTCCTCAATCTTGCTCTGTAGGAATCCCTGTAGTCGTTCGTTCGGGCAGGCTTGGCCCTGCGAAGCTTGACTGAAGAGAGCACTGGCCCCAGCTGCCCCTGGCTCTTCGATGATAACGAGGGGCGATAATGCAACGGAGCAACAGGGGAAAAGGGGGGCTAGGATGACCGCTAAGCCGCCTCCCGCATAGCGCCGCCCGGGCCCGCACAGGGGTTCCGTCTCATCTGAGACCGCTAATCCATCTTTGGTCGCCTTGGGCCGTCTCGAGCGTTGCAGCTTTCTGGTGAGAATCCTTGCAAGCTTCTCAAAATCTCCACCATCCACCACAATAGCCATGCTTCTCAAGCTTCTCCGCCTTCACGCCACGTTCTTGTTGTCTTGCAAGTCTCCTCTCTAGTTTTACTGCGCTCGAGCCTCCATCTTCCTTCCTCTCTTCAGTGTGAAAGTCAAAGAAGAAGCGACTTACTATGCAGTAGATCCCTTTCGGAGATAGAGCATGTCATCAATCAAAAAGCTATCCACACATCCAAGCAAAGGTGAAGAGCCACAGCATCAAGATGCGGGATTTCCGATCGTGCCCCAGTAAATAGCGAATGAACTGAATTGCACTGGTCTAGGCCAGTGCATCTCGGGGCACCCTTCTTCTTCCCCACGTACGACAGCTGATTGTAGGCTTGCTCTTCAGCCTTACTGCGCACGAGACGGTACGCTGGTGGATGCGAGGTTGGGAGAAGATAGGGCCTCAGCGCCTTTTGCCAGAGGCGCAATCTTCAGTGCAAACACTGAGGCTTTCCATCTGGATTGGAGGAAACTTGGCCAGCCAGACACCCAGTTCCTCGCGCTTGTCGGACGCAGGAGCCCATCTCCGAGAGAGATTCGAGGTCTCACACGCATCTACGCCGTGCGTAAGTAGCTGCAGAGCAAATGGTGGTAGCTGGCTGGCTGGCTGGCTGGTTGCTCGTCCGTTGGCTCCAGCTCGGCTGCTTCCTCGTCACTTCTCGCTCGCAGCCTGCCTGTCTTGACTTTCCTTGTCTTGTCGCCTGCATAACATGTCATGTCATGCACCCGGCGGACCTCGCTCAGCCAGTCACCGCCTCGCGGACGCCCTCCTTTGGTTTCCTAATCCATGATAGCTCCCGTCGCTGGCTGTCAATGGCCCGGAACGATCACCGCCTGCCAACGTCGAGCCGTGCAGTACACTACTGGACTGAACAGTACAATGGCCTTGTGTGCCTCCTACGACACCGTCGAGGCTGGGCGCGGTTGGACTTGAGCCCTGTACAACGTTCATCTTGTATTCGATGGCACCCGCCATGTCTTGGTCCAGCCGCCAGCTCGTACAGGCCATGTTCACAGCACCTTGGCATCTGTGGCTGGCCCATAACCAATCTGTCGGCTCAGTGCCGGTTGGCCTCTTTGGTTGATCCGCCTACTCGCCTAGCTGCCAGTCGACGTGGCTGATGCACAGCCGAATGTGTGCCGTGTACTGTGCTACAATGGCTGCTGGATCTCACGAGGCTGCAGTGCAGCACGCAGCACGCACACGCAGCGCATCGCAGGTCACGCCTCGCAGATTGGCCTAGACAACGCAGGCATTGCTTCATTTTTGCTTACGCAGACTACCTCACCTTGGTAGTGCTCTGCGGGAACCACAGCCGGAATGACGCCCTCGCCTTGCATGTTCTCCGCGTTTCTGCTGGTCGAGCCTCCCGAAAGTGCGGGTTTCACCGAAGTCGAATATCATCGTGAATGTCATCAGCCAAGGCCATTGCTCAAGCGAGCTGGCAAGGTGAGCCGCTGCCCAATCTGGTGTGTTTGGGCAGATTTTCCCCCATGCGAATTCAGCGAGAGAAACAGCTGTATCCTAACAATGTTTCATTCAATGTCACCATCAAAGCCGAGTCAATGTCCAAGTGGAGGCTCTCGTCGTGGTGACTTATGACGCATCGCAATAACAGGGGGCCTTTTACGGTATCTCGACCTGAGAGATGTTGAGCTTGACACCCAATCCTAACACTACTTGGGGCTGACTTATCACCGATCATCATCATCATGTGTGACATGTCTCGCATTGCAGCCCCAATGCTTCATCGTCGCCCAGGATCAGAGGGATCATCCTGGCCAAGCAAGCGCTCCCGCAACTGTTACACTCGTAACGTTTTCCATCATTCTTCAGGGCAATACAGTCACTGACTGACAGCTCATCCCTGCCCCCCACGTGTTGGGCTCCGTCTCTGTTTTGGGCTCCGTGCTGTACAGCGTATTCTGAAAGCCCGGCCTGCCATATTCGTAGGGAGGCGGCTTTCCTTATTTCATCCCCAGCATCCCTGCTCATCGTTTGCATTTCTCTTGTGTTCTCCTGGTCAGCTAGTCGGAAGGGGGTCATATGACCTCATGGCCCAAGCCTGCATTTGACAGCATGCATCAAACCCCCCAGCTGCAGCGGGCGCTGCTGAGTTCCTCTTCCCCTCGCCAGCCAGGGCTCAGAAAGTCCATCCCGCCGTGGACCACCTCCGGAGACCTGACTAACGGCACTTTCTGTGACCTGTCAGTTACGCTGTTTCCGTGTGGCTTCTCGCCCCTCCGGACCGAAGACGCCGGTGAGGTCACAAAACGATTCATCATCATCATTCAGTGGTTGAATCCGGTGACAGGGGTTCACCGCAGCCGGGAATCAATTGACTACCTGCCGAGGTGATCATCCCTCCTGCAGGCACTCCAAAACGGAAGCCCAGCAACTCCACTTTTCTCCGGGCGCCCTCAGAATGTACGAGTACCGCCTGGTGGTCTGTGAGGCCGTACCGTACAGTACACACCATGACAGCGCAGCACCCCGGAAGCTCTCTGTATGAGGGTGCGTGTGTGTGTCTGTCTGTCTGTCTCTCTCTCGGTGACTTCGCCACGCCACCTGCGTGAGGGCCGCCTCACCGAAATGCTGGATCTCGAGAGTGCGTGAACCTGCGTCCGCGGCGCCTGCTAGTTATGTTATGGGGAAACGGGAGGGATGTCTCTCCTCTTGCATGTCTAGGGGTCTCAGTCGACATCCCATTCTGCCATTGATGCTACCCTACACCAGAGCCGACCTGTCGATGCTAGGCTGCCCGGGGCTGTAAATCTGCGGTGAAGAACTAGCAGGGTTTCTGTGTTGGATTGCGTGCATCGGCACCGACACGTCGACGACTGTCAATCAAGCGTGCCCCAGGCGCGTGTTAGTCTTGGCTGTTGGAAGCTCAGATCCAGAAGCCTGGAATCATGCCCGCCCCAGTACACAGCAGACAATTGACCACCAACAAGCGCCCATCACCGTCCAGGGCTGCATAATGGACCCCAAGCAGTTATTTTGGTCGCAGTGGATTCTGGCGACTGCTGCGTGTCAGCCCAGCTGTGCCATTTGAGTTGCAGCTGCTTGTCTTGTCACAGTCAATCAGTCAGTCACTTGGAGTGGAGGAGTGACGTGTTAATGCCCAAAGTGCTGCGAACGTCGTCCTCAGTCCGAACCCTTGCGAAAGCTCCGCAGGACGAGGAACGACGACGACATATAAGGCACGATAAGGGACGATCATAAGCAGCGCGAGGGGACGCCACCAGTAATTCGAGGAACCAACGGCCCCAAGGAGCAGAAGCCATTGGCAAAAAAATAAAATAAAATAGGTGCCGTTGCTCGCTCTGCACTGAGCTGTTTGAATGATCCCACCCCGCCCTATCAAGTCCGTCGTTTGCTCCTTCCGGCGACTGCCCATGTATTCGGGAACCAAGGAGATCGTCAGCCCATGTCTTATTCATCCTGTTAACACATTCTGGGCCCATGCGTCCACAGACTCACTTGTCGTCTATGATTCACTGGGAGCCTGATTGAGTCGAGGAGTTTCTTCACTTTGTTTGGTAAAATCAAGAAAGTCATTTTTACCTTGACGCTCGTTTCTCTATAAAACCTCGAAGGATCGCTCGCACGCCACCATTCCGTCGACGCCATCTGGGGGCTGTCGACAAAAGCCACCCGGCTCAATGTTCCATCACCTAAGCCCGCGAAAACGATTCAAAAACAACGCACCCAGCCCACCGCCGTGGCCGAAGCCGAGCTGCAAGCACGAGGCTACTATGCCTGGCTCAAGGGGGATCCCGCTGCGTCGCAAGTGTGATTCTGCTGCCAGTGACGGTTCGGACGAGGACCGAATGAGAAAGATGGACGTCTTCGAGAATACGTCTTCTCAGTTTCCCAAGATCGCTTTCCCTGCTGGCAACAACGACTTTCGGGCTGCTCGCAATCGCTGCTCTCTTGCCTGTAGACGTTATAACGAGATCGCAGAGGATGCACCTGTCGAAGAGCGTGTTGCAGGGTTCCTGACGTGAGTGCAAAACCCCTGAACCCTTACCCCTGACATCGCCGTGCGGCTCAACAACTTAGCGCGCCGGTGCTACACCACACACAACCCATGTAACCCTGCTCCAGTCGCACAACGAGAATAAGATTGCTAACACAAAATCCACTGGCAGAATCGTCGATCCAAAACCCCGGCCGTCATCTAGTTCATCGTCGGCCTCGGGCACATCGGGCACGTCGATGGAGCAGCTGTTCACGGACCCGGACGCGAAGCCGACTGTGCCGTTTGTCAAGTCGCCGATCTGGATGGACTACGGTCTGCGCGTCAAGATCCACCCCACAACCTTTATCAACCGCTTCTGCACCATCCTTGACACCCCCGTTGCAGATGTGGTTATCGGCGCTCGCTGCAACGTCGGCCCGCAGGTGACCATCGTGTCGGTGGGCCACCCGCTGCGCGCCGAGGAGCGCCGCGAGGAGGTGACCAAGAAGGCGGCCAGCTACGGCCAGAGCGTCGTGATTGGCGACGGGGTGTGGATCGGCGCCGAGGTCACGATCCTGTAAGCTGCTCCGGCCCCCTCATCCCCCTGCGAGGAAAACCCACACTACCAGACCCGACTGGCTGGACCCGATGCTTTTCTTCCCATTGGGTACCCCCTCATGCTGACTGGTTCCCACAGGGGCGGTGTTACGATTGGCGATGGGGCCGTCATTGGGGCGAAGAGCCTCGTCAACAAGGACATCCCGCCCGACTGCCTGGCTGTGGGCGTCCCGGCTAAGGTCATACGTTATCTCACGGACGAGCCGCCGATGGAGTACGACGGCTCGGTTGTCACATTAGAGGACGCGCTGAACGTTCAATAATTAACTAGACTAGGAGGTCACAACTCGGTGTATTATATTCTATCTCGGCAGCACAGGAAAACCAAAATCACATCAGCGAGGAGTTCAGGGCCATGGGAACACTTTTACCTTGTTTTCTTAGCGCAGAATGATAGATGGTCTTATAATCTCAAAACTCATTATTTCAAGCTTATTATGGAGGATTTCATCCTTGTTCACTATTGACTCTCTATGTTTTGACAACGGGCTATTTCTCAGAGATCACGAGCGACGGTGACGGAACCCGAGGCGCGGAACAACGGCTGTGGATGAGTGATTCACTTCGGTCATAGATCAGATACATCTTGTGCTTCAATAATGTTTTCAATGCTTGCCTATGACCAAATTTGTCATTTTTGAACGGGGGCAGAAATGGAGCGTGAGCCAGATATCGGTAGTTGCCTTGCCTCAGTCTGGTGGCGGTGGCTGAGTAATTTTCAACCTCCTTCAGCTCTCAATTCATCCTCTTGTGAAACCGCTACAGTTCTGCTATTACTAAACAATTCCCGATGATTAAATTTAATTACAAGAAAGTTGCTTATAAGACATGATATAATGTTAGACTGGATTGATAACAACCGATTTTCGCAACGGCATATATTTCGCCGTGGTGGGAAATCCGAGGAGAGGAGCTATCAGTACGTACCTCTAAATCCAGGATCACCACAGATTCGAGTCCTTGTACTGTATCCTGGTCGATGGAAATCAGAAATCAATTGTAACCTGCAGCATGCATCGCTAAATGATCAACCTTCGTATGAGGCACTATCTTACGTCTGGGGTAAAACGATACCGCCGAGCCACATTCGGCTCGGCGGTTGCTTGCATACCATCACGGCTAACCTCGAGGCTGCGCTGCGCCAGATGAGACACAGGTGGAAGACGAGAAGACTCTGGGTTGACGCGCTATGTATCAACCAAGAGGATATTTCAGAGAGGGCTGAACAGGTACAGAAGATGCATGCTATCTATTCTCAGGCATCTAACGTCCTGGCCTGGACTGGAATCGCGAGCCATGAAAGCGAAGATGCCATGACCTTGATTCAGGACATAGGGGAATGGTCATTCAAGAATGAGCTCTTTGAATACACTGAGACCGGAAGCCTTATTGAGGAGATGCCGTCGACCCGTCTCGCACGAACAGGATTTGTCACAAAATCACGGAATTGGACAGCACTCTGGGACTTTCTCGAACGACCGTATTGGAAGCGTGTCTGGGTAGTGCAGGAACTAGCTGTTCGTGGCTTTCTAAGCGATTACAAGCCGTGTACCATCTTCTGCGGCTCGATGCAGGTTGACTTGGTTTATTTCTTGAGGGGCTCTATCTCCTTTACAATGAACTCTCTGGGAATATGGGAAACGATATAACAGGAGAGGTTGATCCGATATACCGTCCGCTCCTGGCCCGGGACCAGAAACACCCACCTGCATTTTCCATGTTACAGATACTACAAAGCGCTAACCATAGATATTCATTGGTATTTCTTGTCTATGTCTGCCGCACTTTGAGTGCCACAGATGACCGCGATAAAATCTACGCCGTGTTAGGACTGGCTCGCCACGAAGATCAAAACATTCGCCCAGATTATGGGAAGTCATTAGCGGCAGTTTTGATGGATTATGTGAAGTTCTTCGTTAGTAGGGACCAAAATCTCTACTCCCTCAACATGAATAGGCGCGAGTTGTGTACCGTAGCCCCGTCGTGGACGCCGGAGGTTAATTTCGCCAAACAAGCCATGGATTCTTTACTCGAACCTCAGAATCAGATCAACTACCGACCGGCTGGTAACAGAAAAACCGATGTAGAGTTTGACGACGACACTATGTCAATGCTGGTTAGGGGTGCTGTTATCGGAACTGTCCAGCGGGTCATTGGTCCTCTCCATGATGTAACTAACACCCTTGGATTGGAGGCTGGCATACCTGACATCGGGAAGATTTTCGTTGGGCAAGGTGCCATCCAGCAGCTCTGGGCATTCGCGGGAAACTTGCGCAAAGAATCACATTATGACGCCTTTTGGCGTACGTTGGTTGTCAATAAACAGCGGAACGTTGTTACGGAGGACCAAAGCATCTATCCAGCCCCGAAGGCGTGGGGCCATATGAGCCTCGTCTGGTTCGGGCTGCAAGATCCACCACCGAATTTCCAGCCAGATGCCCCGGAGCACGTCCGGCCTGGGCTCTACTCGTTGCCGTTCGGTCGAGCTTGCATTAGGATCATGACCAATCGCACATTCTTTACTACATCTTCAGGACATATGGGCAATGGGCCCTATCTCACTAAACCTGGGGATCTAGTGGTCATACTTTTCGGATCACAATACTGCTTTGTTTTGCGTCCCGAGGAAGATCGCTATCGTGTGCCATGGATGGGGAGATGGTCCGGGAAGGGAGCCAAGCGGAGGAGAGGGTGTTCACACTCCGTTGACTGCTGTCGTGAAAGCTGGGCTCAACCCCGAGTTTTGTGAGGGGGCAATGAATCTTCGCCTCCAAAATCAATAGTTGATTTTCGTTGTAGCGTCTCTTGCAATTTTAAGGCTTGAATGATTCACAATTGACTTAAGAGACCAGCACAGCGTAACACCAATTCACATGAGCCTTAACGGTGCCAAAATTTTTGTTCTATTCATGACCACCGACACATTTACCGGCAGGTATATCCACCATCAATAACCAGATCCGCACCGGTAGTGTAGCTGCTGGCGTCACTGACAAGATAGACGTACGCGCCCTTCAGCTCCTTGGCGTCGCCGTTTCGGCCCATAGGAATCATTGATTTCCACAGATCTTGCGTCTTCTGCTCGACGAAGTCAGATAGACCGGTGTCGATGTATCCGGGCGAGATGCTGTTCACGCGGGCAAAATCGCGCCACTCGTTCGCCAGCGAACGGGCCATGTGGATGCAGCCAGCCTTTGCGACATTGTATGAGGTCTGCTCCTGGGGGAAGTTGGCAATGTGGCCGGACATGGAGGCCGTGATAACAAAAGAACCGAAGCCCTGCTTCTTGAAGTAGGGACCGACCGCTTTGGCGCAGTAGGCGGTGCCATTGAGGTCTACCTGGATAACATGGTCCCAGTCCTCTTTGGAGCCATCGATGACGCCACTATTGGCTGTCGCGCCAGCGCTGTACGACACGGTGGCGTTAGCTTCCTCATTCTAGATCTAAGGTGTGCATGCATGTCGTCTCATTCCGAGCAATTGGAGGTGGGGGATAAGAAAGTGCCGCTGCAGTGTAACACTTACTTTGCGATGAAGGCGTCAATCTTGCCAAAATCTGCGACGACATCGGAGCAGAGCTTGACGCACTGGTCGTAATCATTGACCTGGCACTTGTAGGCCTTGACCTTGACGCCATACTCCTTGGAGAGCTCGGCAATGTTCTTCTCAGCTCCCTCCTTGCGCGACGAGTAGGTGATGGCAACGTCGGCGCCCATCTCGGCACAACCCCGCGCTGCCTCAATTCCCATGCCCCGAGGTCCGGAGGCGCCGGTGATGATGACGACCTTGCCCTTGAGGCTGAACAGGTCCAGCAAGTGGCTGGCGGTAGGAATTGATTGCGGCATCTTGAGTGTAGATGTGCTCGTGTAGGTCCTCTTGACTAATATCGAAGTGTTGGAGAAGGGCGCGATATTCCTAAAGAATGGTGCTCGAGCAATGACGACGATCAGAGGACGAGATTGAACAAACATCTCAGAGCTCCTGCGAGTGCCGGCCAAGTTGGGATCGTCCAGAGACTTATACTCTGAGCGGTTAAAACTCTGCACGGAGCGGGCAAACTGTCCGGCCACCACCACCAAACCACTTGTCTATCCTCAATACGAATGGGAAGCTCTCGTTTTCTTCTCTGCGAACCTTGGTGGGCTCTAGTGATGTCATTGACGCAGGGACCTTACAAAGCCACCTGCAAGCCGCCCAAAGGCCGATATCGACCGGAGGCGAATACTAGATGTGCTATCAGGCCAATAGCTTGGCCGGATCTGGGGCTCTTCACTGAGCTAGACCACTTTTTTTCACGGAAGCAAATGCACAAGAGCTGTGGAATTAACCCCCACAGCGCAGTGCAACGCAGTGCCTAACTCCACGCCTCATGGAGGACGCCGTCATTGACTCGCCGAGAGCGGGTGCCGCTATGCCGCTAATCCGCGCTCGCTAGGCTTGACTAGAGCTCGTCTTGTATCGGCTCATCATCATGAAAGTAGGGCCGGGTACCTGTCCCTAGAAGCCTCTCAGTAGTCGCTCATTGTGCAGCTATATTCCCAAGAAGATTGAGGAGGTTTACATGGCTGATCCTTCGATATAAGCTTAACGCCCACGTGCATGGTGGCCACCGATCCGAACCGATCCTGCGGATCGTCGCCTGTGCGGCGTTGTCATGAATCCTTGCGCTTATAGCTGACAAGCCTGCCGACTGGCTGATTTACCCGCTCTTGGAGGCGCCCGTAGGTGATTCAATTGACTTGACTTATGACACATGATGAAAGCTGGCAACGTTACAATTATCTTTGTTCTCTGGTTCGTCTATTCTGGCTATACATCCTCCAAGGCATCATAGAATTTGTCGTCATGTTCATCAAGCAGGGGGTACTCGTTTTGGGCCATAGTGGCGCTCTCTACAGCCTGAACTAGCCCCCCAAAAGCATCTACCAACTCGTTTGACAAATCGGAACGACAGTAAAAAGGCCTCCGCAGCAGTGCGACCTTGAATATTCCTCTTGGCTGTATCAAGGCCGTATAATCCGTGCAGCCCTCGGATCGCCATCGTCTGTGCATCCCCGCTCGTCGCGGCACGGTGCAGAACCGTATTTGCGTCTCGGTCTACTACAAGATGCAAGTGAGTTGAGTCATGATTCAACAGCAAAGGTAGAGCCTCATGACTGTTGTACGTGACAGCATCCATTAGTGGCAGGCTTCCCTTAGAGTCCGCTATCTGGAGACTGGCGCCTCTCTCGAGGAGATATTTCGTGGTAATCGGACGGTCGAATCGAGCTGCTGTATGAAGGCAAGTCCTGTTGTCCGCCGTCTGTGTGTCAACATCAAATCCGGATTCCAGAATTGCTGCGATCAGGTCAAGTCGGTCAACGACGCAGGCTACTTGCGCAGGATAAAACCCCTCATCCGTGGTGAATTTCGGATCGGCTCCACGAGCGAGCAAGAATATTGCCATTTGATCACTCGTGCTTGAGTCGTACATCGCCGTCAAGTACAGGGGCGTTAGCTTGTGCGGGAGAGTTCGCAGATTGACGTCGGCTCCCGCTTCAACGAGGTCTCGCAATCCACCAAAATTGGCAACCATTACAGCATAGTGAATCGCACCGAGGCCGAATCCATCGGTTCGATCGAGCGCACTAGCATCTCGTGAGGTCAGTACATGCGCCAAAGACCGGACGTCTCCCACCCGCCGTCCAAGGGTGACTTGGCTGAGATGCGTCATGTCCATGTCTTCGACGCATTGTGTTGTGCTCAGCAGCTCCTCTAACTCACGGCAGACTGATGGAGGATATCCATTTGTCATTACGTTTGTCGCCGCGACCTGCCTTGCGGTCTCGCCGCCATCAGACTCCGCGTCGGCGTCTGCACCAGCCTGGAGTAACAGCCGTACGCATTCTGCAACCCCCACCTTAGTGATCGCGTGCAGCTCAACAGCAACACTCAAAGGAGTTCGGCCATCAGCATATTCCAAGCTATTTGCCACAGACGGATGCCTCTCCAGATACTGCCGGACGCGTTTCGTATCACCAACATTCACTGCATGGAAGATGTTTGTATGCGCATACTCAATTCGATGCTTCACCACAAGCCCAACCGAACGTCCAGTGGGTGCTTTACGCACGCATATATCCACGCAGTAACGAAGGAACCAGCTGGGGAATATGTATCGTGCTTCAAACTGGCCGCTTTGTTGTGCAGCGCAGTCTTTGGTATAATGTGGCATTGTTCGCACGGGAAGACCAGTGTAACCACCGAATAACCTGCCAAATATCTCCTGGAGATAGGGGGGGTGGGGGTCTGCCAGTATTGTCTCGCCGGTCCCCGGGAGTGACAGGGACATCGGCATGTTCTCGAGCGCTTATCTAACCCTTTGAAGGTGATCACCTTCATATATAAGCCGGGTTGTCGCCTATTTGTACTCAAGTACTTAGATAACGCGACATACTACTTACATTGCTTGCGCAGCCTCCATACTGTTCGTCACATAATCGAAAGTGTCAATATCAGTAACACTACTAGTCGAGATATACTCTCCATTCAAGAGGCATAGGGGTGTATGTTATCTTAGAGGTTGCTGAGGTTACTATCCAGTAGATCAAACTCGCCAAAATTGGTCTCAGAAGACATGCCGAGAATAAAAAATGTGAGGGAGGTATTGTAGCCAAAAGTCATCTCGTAGAATCAAGGTTTGAGGCGGAATATCGCAGACCTGCATGCCATGCCTGGGTACCCTTGAGCTGAAAGACATATCTAGCTGCTTAGGATGTAACTCTTGCTGTCTGACAATGTCCTTACGCTGTGATCAAAAGAAGCTCAGGCACAGCAAACTACACGTGATCTACGTCAGACTGCGGAGGACTGTTGTCCATCAACTCTGAACTTCTACAAGCTGTTCAGACGAAAAGGGCTCCCGGAACGAAGAGGTAGGTTGATTACAAAAGAAGACGAAAAGCTTAAGACTTCACACATATCAGACACAGGCTGCCTAACTATAGTCATATGGGAGTGGCAGGCATTGAGAACGTCTGCCACAGTTCTCAGCTTCCAACGCGAGAACTTGATACAAATGAGACATAGGAGTAGACAGGGGGTCAGGGAAGCTCCGAAAGTTAGAGAAATTTGAAATTCTGCGTGAAAACAATCAAAACAATAAGCTTTTCACGGCTACTTTCCTAGTCGTCATATATAATGATCCACCACGGTCAAATCCAAGCCACCGCCGTCGACCTTGGTCGTGACATCCCCAGACTTACAAATCTCAAGCTTCAACTCAGGATAACTCACAGCACAGGCTGTGTGACTCGACTGATACAGGGGTGATTTGGTTCAATTAGTTCATGACAAAAAGTGCTCACTTGCAGCCTAGAGATAAGACATGTCCCTAATGACACTGGATGTATTAGACCAAGACGGTTGAATGGGGAACATAGTAAGTCGTGTCGTGTATACTTATATATATCACATATTATCTTTCTTTATACGTAGATCACTCGTGATGCGAAAAACTAGATGATACTCGTAGTTCTTTGGTCAGTACCATCTGCGCTTTCCGAGCATACTACAAGATGGGGTGAGAAATGCTGTATTGGTCTGCACACACAACATTGTGTAGCTCTCGAAGTTAAAAGTCAAGTGCTACAGCTGATACGAGAACAACATTAGGCCAGACTTCTCTTGTGGCTGGCACGAATTACTGGTCTGTACGCGTGCATCATTGGTAGCGATCATGAATATGAAGAGACATCGCTGGAAGTTTTTGACTGCAGAGCTTGGTTGGGTCATTCCGACTGTCCAGAATGAGAAACAGTTATAGTAAATAGACCTATTTTTAGGTATTGAGCTGATTGCATTTATATTTTCGCGGGCCATGAATTCAGCCGCGATATTCGAAGTCCAGACCTTGCGGGGAGGAGTGAACTGTTTCTAACCGAAAATGTCACCCCAATGCGACCGCAATTTTCTGCAATTTAATAAGAAAATTCAAATTGATTTCATTGGCTTGTATCAACGTTAAAGTTCTGGTAACGGACGCATATTTGAGCCTCTGTATAACCGGGAGCCTGGGCACCTAGAGTATGAGGTCAAAGTCGGACAGTGGCTGCCGTAGCCAAGCCTTTCTCATTAAGTTAAACCAGAAATTTTGGAAAGATAATCCTAGCTTCCCTAGATCATAAGACTCATCTATGTATGTGAAAACATGCTCTCCAAATACAAATTGATCGCGAGATCCGGCCAATTCACTGCTATACTATCCATCGTAGAGATATCAATTGAAGCATATCGACGTTTCTTTCTATACACCTCCTGCCCTAGTACCGAGTCACCATGCATCTCACTTTCCCAATCACGCTTCTTGCTCTCGTTGCGTAGGTATTTGATCTCAACGATGCTTCTCGATTTACTAATTATACGCAGGGGAGTGGCTTGTCAAGCCATAACTTTGACGCCAACCACCATTCGAGGGCGAACAAGTAGTACTTGCGCGGCCGTCACCAAGACCTTGGTTTCTGTTTCCACTGCGACAGTGACCTCTGTTTCGACATCAGTGTCCACATCTCTTCAAGTTTCTACGTCGACGGCTACGGTCCGCCAGACAATAACATCCACTGCAACAGCCACTCTGGTGAAAACGACGACGGTCACAACAACTGCCCCTTGCGCACCCTCTGTTAAGTGTCCAACTCTTACCAGCACGGGCACGGCATGCAAAAGTTGTTTCGTGCCGCAATGCACCGAAGTCCAGACGGTAGCAAAGCCTTGCGGTTGCCCCGCCTCACTGGCAACCACAACGGTCAACTTTCCCTGCAGTGATCCCGACGCCTGCAATAATATAGGGTGCAAAACTGTCTACACG